CTAAGTCCCTTGTAGTGCGGCCACTTCTGGCCTATTGTACCAGCCCCAGATGATAGGTGAGGGTGATTGTGGAGCAGTTGGTGGAATGAAGATTGGCAGGGGAAACCGAAGTACTCGGAGAAAACCTGCCCCAGCGCCACTTTGTCCACCACAAATCCCACTTTACCAGACCCGGGATCGAACCCGGGCCGCTCTGGGAAGCCAGCGATTAACCGCTTGAGCTATTTCGCGACCATGTTTTGCGGGTTAGTAAAGCTGAATATTCATTTAGCTCCCAAAATGTTAATAATCTTTAGCAAATGTTTGTTGAGTGAGACACTTAAATGCCCAAAAAAGCCGTGTCATACGCGTATAAACATTTCCCGAACGAAGCCGATAATTCAAAAGGATTCATGTTTTGCGTTGGTCGTGCATGTAGTCAGTGCATATGTGTATGCGTGCGTTGTCTTAACTGAGTTTCCATCAAGGAAAGTGTCTGCAATTTATGGACTTCATAGACAGGAGCCATAGTTGTGGAATAGACCTATGATTCACTGTTTGTATCGACTGCTTGCAGCACGGATGAATTCCAGACAGACATTTCTCAGTGGAGACAGACATACGCTCTCTCTGTGCGTAATTATCCTTAATAAACGTTTATTAGGAAATGTTTATCAGTGGATAAGCCATAAGCTTAAAAAAAGTGACGTCATGAGAGGAATATCGAAAACGTTATTAAAGCTAAAATTATGTTACTACTGCTACTGCTTCTGCTACTACTACTGCTACTGCTACTGCTGCTGCTGCTGCTGAGGCATACGGTAGCGTAGTTGGTTGAGGCACTATGCTACAAGCCAGAAGGTCGCGTTTTCGATTCGCCGATGAGGTCATTGAATTTTGTAAATGACCTAATCCTTCATGCCGGTCACAGTAGCCGAACGGACTAAGGTATGTACTGTCTTCGCTTGCTCGGAAGCCGGGGTCGTAGGTTCGAATTCCACTCACGGCATGGATGTTTGGTGTGTGTGTGTGTGTATGTGTGTATGCGTTTATTCTGTGTTTGTGTTGTCCTGTGTTTAGGTAGAGGCCTTGAGACGAGCTGATCACCCGTCCAAGGAGACCTACCGCCCGTAAAAATGATCAGTGAAACTGAGAAGTGAGCCCTATGCTCCAAAGTGGGGGCGAAGAAGGAGAAAAAATCCTTCCAGCCGCACTATGACCCTGGGGTCGACTCAGCCTCTAACAGAAGGAGTACTAGGAATGTTCCTGGGGGTTAAGGGCGACCGACGTTTAATGCAGTGAGCCGATTTTCTAAACGTGGGAGCCTGGACGTCTCACAAACCTGTGAGCCTCCACGGCCTGTTACAGGGACAGCTTTGCCTTCTTACCTTCTTTCAGTTTTGTTCGTCTGGACTCATCTTTACGTTAGGGATGAGTTAAATCCCGGGATTTATAGTGAATAGAGTGTAACTGGGGCAGGTTTCCTGCGATTTTTTGGGTTTTCCTGCCAATTATCATTCAAATAACTGCTCCATGTCCGTTGATCATCCTCTCACAGACGCGATATGGTCTCGTTACTGACATCGTCCCTAAATAATAAGCTAAAAAACCTCCACAGCTTCACATCTCAGAATCTACTAATCTTCATATTTACCGCAGTGATAATCTCAAATTTCACATAATGGGAAAAGATTTCCTATTAGGATGAATTCATTTTTTTAAGGACTTTTGCATATGCAACAATTGGTACGTTGCTTGATATTCAATTAATTCAACATATGCCATATTTTATTTTCTTAAAACATAATTCTAATCATTATACAAAGATAATTATCTTTGTTGGGGGTCTTTGTAATTGGATTGTTCTTTCCGCGTAAGAATCCTCACTTAGGGGCACGTGGCAGGCGGAGCACCAGCTTTGATTAGTGTAAAGCCGCTTCCTGTGCTTCCATTCCGGATAGAATGTTAACAAGACACGATCACGACACGCAATCTCATTATTGCCCCCCCTCTAGGAGATTATGAGAGTCAGAAGAAACGCACACCCGCCCCGTTAGAAATGAATGTGTGAAGATCAACTGGCGCCATCTCTTATCGTAACAGATGTACTTTTAGTAAGGGTCGACAATGTATTCGCAGCACGTTTTGCGATTTTAATAGCCGTACTTAAAAAGAATTGCTGGAAAACTGAAAACACTTGCGCAAGCTGCTTAAATGAAAGCATATGAAAAACTGGATTGTCCGTTATTCTGAGCTTATATTACTATAACTCCGAACCTACTTAATGGATATTATAATGAAGAAGTAAAAAAGTAAGAAAAGTAAGTAAAGGTTTCCTTATAACAAGCCGTGGAGGCCCATGAGGCTGTGAGATGTTGAGGTTCCCACATTTTCTAGACAATCGGCTCACAGATGGCGGTGAGGTTGTCAGCTTTATGCGCCGGCCGCCCTTTACCCCCAGGAATATTCCTGGTACTCATTTCTGTTAGAAGCTGAGTTTACCCCATGACCATAGTGCGGCTGGAAGGATTAGGTCAATTGAAAAAAAAATTCACCTCATCGGGATTCGATCCCGCGACCTTCCGGCTTGTATTTTGTTCATCTTAGAATCATCTAATACATGGTGCATGGCGCAGGGTATAAGTTTAAGGCCTGTAAGATTAGTTACTATAGGATTCTGACGATGGTGTATAACACACTGATATATTGGGTTTTTGGACTTTATCCATCGTCCTGGTATTTAAGATAACAAATAAAAATACGACATTTCGGAAACTGGATCTGTTTCCGTCCTCAGGTGAAGGAAAGCACCTATTCTGTTGGGTCCGTTAGAAAGAGCTAGCCTCAATCACTGGAAGCTTTCTCCTTCAAATGAGAATATCCTCCTCTGTCCCCAAGGTCATCCAACATCATCTTACGTCCTCTTCCTCGTCTTCTGGTCACTTCTATCCGCCCCTCTATCTTTCCTTCAATAACTTCTTTTAGAAGGCAGTTACCGCGTAAGATATGACCAATCCAATTAGCCTTCCGTTTTCTTATTTCGTGTAGGATATTCCTCTGCTCACTGACTCTAATTAACACTTCTTCATTTCTCACATAATCGGTCCAACTGATCTTCTCCATCCCTCTCCAACACCACATTTCGAAACTTTCCAGGTGTTTCTGATCTACTGCCCTAAGTGTCCAAGTTTCAGCCTCATACAAAGCGATGCTCCAAACGTAGCATTTCACTAGTTTCTTTCTCAAATTTAAGTCCATAATGTTATTTATTTAAAAAGTAATAAAAATGGAAACTGTGAATCAAACGACTACTGAAGAAGTGGACCTGTCTCTGTAGTCACGGCCGTTTCCCAGTAGAACATTTGAGCACACGAGAGGAATCGCTCGCTTTGTTACCGACGGAAGTTGTTTTTCAAAAGTGTCATGGCTTTAAGTTCAGTATTTCTTGCCCTCTCACATAGACTTTAAACCTCTGGATTACAAAAGGAATACCCATGTATGCCTAGGCCCCGCAAGTGGTCTCCCTTTTCTGTGTTTCTCATTCCCTCTGGCTTGCTATATATCTGATCGATGATATACTCTTTGATGTGGCCAACTTAATATTTGCTGCAGAGTAAAATTATGGACGCAATTAGTGGCTTCTTGGACATTGTCCATCGTCCTGTTTCTTTTATTTAAAACAAATTTTCGGAGACCTAACTGTGTCTCCATCCTCAGGTAAAGAAACTATTCAATTGGGACCAATCGATAGAGTAATTCCCTATCTTACTTACTTACTCACGGAGCTGAGCCGTTCTGGAGGAGCCGCCAATTCTGCAGCTACTCAAGAATTTCCCAGCATTTTATGGAACCTAAAGGTTCATTACCATGTTCACAAGAGCCCTCCACTGGTCCTTACCCTGAGCCAGATCTACTCAATCCATACCATCCCATCCTATCTCTCTTAGATCCATTTTAATGTTGTCCACTCACCTACGCCTTGGTCTTCCCTGTGGTCTCTTTCCTATTGGCTTTCCCACCAATATCCTATATGCATTCTTCGTCTCCCCCATTCGTGCGACATGCCCTGCCCACCTCATCCTCCTTGACTTGATCATTCTAAATATACTTGGAGAAAAGTACAAGTTATGAAGCTCCTCATTGTGCAGTTTTATTCCCTATCTACGAGGTGTAATTATAAATTTACAAATTACGGAGATTCTGTTATGTAATTTTCTATTTTCCCTTTACCTCATTCCTTTTAGGTTGAGACATTTTCCTCAGGACCCTAAACGCCCACAATTTATGTTCTCCTTTAACCCTTTAAAGCATTAAATTCATCTGTATAATTCAAAAGTCGGTTTCCACCTCTCAAAAACAATCTGCATAGCCATTACAGAGACCAGCTGCTTAATGTGCGCAGATATTGTCGTTGTTTGTTCTGCACACCATGTGAAACCGAAAAATGAAATCCATAAGCCAAGCCCCGGTGGTCTTAATGCTAAACCAGGTGATATTTGGTAACTACTGTGCATGAAGGAGCTACAGTCTTAGTCAGAGTTTCTCATTATGTTCAAAATATACGTGAAATTATACTTTGGATTATTATAATCTTTTCTTTCTCTATGTAGGAGACTGACAAAGAAAAATTGGTGTGAAAATTATATGTAAACTTACTAATAAAAATTATACAGAACTTTAAATAAGTTTTTGTTCTTCCTGCATGTGGTACACGTAGGATCGACTGTCTGCTGCTTAAGCCTTAAGCTCGTACATAATTTAACCGAAATCCTTCCATTAGAGGCTTCCTTTTGGAGTGAAGCAGATGGCCGTTGGTTTATGCGGGTAAAACACTTTTCCAGTCTTCTAGGATTGGCGTTCCGAAGGGTGAAGGGGAAGCAAGAGATACGGGTCAGTAAAAATTCATGTGACTCTTATTCAGAAGGTCTGTAGGGGTGAAACCCAGTATCTTGTGGCTTCATTGCAAGGTAAAATCTTGGACAAAACTGTCAGAAAGATCGCTTTTTCATTCTTTCTTCTAGGATCTAGAGGAATAAACAAAGGAATTGTGGAAATAGGAATGATCATGAATGTTTAATCCAGAATGAGCTGTTCACCATCATTCCATTGCTCACCTTGAAGCTCAAGTGTGAGAAGAAAGGTGAGCATGATCCAGTTTGTGGATTACGGTTGGTTCTAAAGGGGCCCATACACGTACTAGTCTGACTCGAGAGCCAGGCTCGGATTAATTTCACTACCCACGCATGAGCTGTTTCCCAACTTTGCGACACACACACGGACAAGTTTGGCTCGTTGGAACCCTAACCGAGTCGGACTCGCGTGCGACTCGTACGTGTATGGGCCCCTTAACAGAAAGTCTTTGGCTTCGTAACCTAAGTATATATCAATGTATGCAAGAGATGCAAAGGAAAGTAGCACTAATTAAAGTCATTGCTTCAGACGTGGTGCAACAGTTGCAGGAAGTTTGCAACACTAATGCCGATTTGGTTGCTCAGGCTGTAACATTCTGTGTATACAACGGCCCTGCCAGATGTTCACGCCAGCTACAAAACATTTAATTGTGTTGCAGATCTCTCTGAACATTTGGCTTGCAGCAACATTCTGGGATCGTGTTGAATTGTTCGATTCTCCTTAATGGAAATCTTGAAATGTAATAGAAAAATAATCATTCGTGTGGTTTATTTTACTGTACTGCCAGCATCTCGACTGCTTAACGTTGTATGGAAGATGATTGATGGGAAATAAATTGGAAGGGGTATGGGTGGAAGCCGCCGAGAAGGCAGGTTAGAATACCTCCACTGTAGCCCTGCGAGTCATAGAAGGCGACGAAAAGGGAACCCGGTTCCTGGGGCTATCCTATCACTGGAAAAATATAAATACAGTTCAATACAATTCAATAAATATAATTCACGAAAAATCTGGCAGAATTTTCTAAGGAAGGCTATGGATCAAAAAAGGCTGTTTTGCCAATGACTGTTATCATGGTGGAAGGAAGTGGTTCTGGTTTAATTTAGGTATTATCCGGTATTAGCCTGGAAATACTGAGGAGGGTCACGAAAGTCCCTAGTCAGGGTAACCAGTATCATGGCCGAGGCTCAAACCCAGCACGTCACCAGTTCAAGTCTACACCGTTACCATTACATCATCCTGGTCGATATTTCTGTGCTGTATCACGTGACTTCTAGCAGGGATAGCGCAGTCAGTATAGCGACTGGCTACGGTAGGGTCAAGAATTTTCTCTTCTCCACGTTGTCCAGACAGGCTTTGGGGCCCACCCAGCTTCCTATCGAATGGGTATGGGGATCTTCCCCTGGGGTAAAGCGGCAGGGGCGTGAAGCTAACTACTCACTTCAAAGTGGTACCGGGTTCAAGAAAATATGGATCTGTATATCCGCCCCGCCCCACATGCGCCTACGTGGCGTAGTGATTAATTAGTTAAGCACAGAGACAAATTTACCTTACCTTTACTTTCACGCCTTTTTTATTCTGCTTCCTTAACTCTTTGTTTCGTTCGCTGTTCGCATTTTGCTCGCTTGCTGTGACGATATGACCGCATATTAATATTCGAACGATGTTGACCTGGAAAACGGTGTCCTTTCCCAGAGTGTCTGTAGTTAACCGCAGTCCTTACAGTCCCAGAGTGTCTGTAGTTCACCGCAGTCCTTCCAGTCCCAGAGTGTCTGTAGTTCACCGCAGTCCTTCCAGTCCCAGAGTGTCTGTAGTTCACCGCAGTCCTTCCAGTCCCAGAGTGTCTGTAGTTCACCGCAGTCCTTCCAGTCCCAGAGTGTCTGTAGTTCACCGCAGTCCTTCCAGTCCCAGAGTGTCTGTAGTTCACCGCAGTCCTTCCAGTCCCAGAGTGTCTGTAGTTCACCGCAGTCCTTCCAGTCCCAGAGTGTCTGTAGTTCACCGCAGTCCTTCCAGTCCCAGAGTGTCTGTAGTTCACCGCAGTCCTTCCAGTCCCAGAGTGTCTGTAGTTCACCGCAGTCCTTCCAGTCCCAGAGTGTCTGTAGTTCACCGCAGTCCTTCCAGTCCCAGAGTGTCTGTAGTTCACCGCAGTCCTTCCAGTCCCAGAGTGTCTGTAGTTCACCGCAGTCCTTCCAGTCCCAGAGTGTCTGTAGTTCACCGCAGTCCTTCCAGTCCCAGAGTGTCTGTAGTTCACCGCAGTCCTTCCAGTCCCAGAGTGTCTGTAGTTCACCGCAGTCCTTCCAGTCCCAGAGTGTCTGTAGTTCACCGCAGTCCTTCCAGTCCCAGAGTGTCTGTAGTTCACCGCAGTCCTTCCAGTCCCAGAGTGTCTGTAGTTCACCGCAGTCCTTCCAGTCCCAGAGTGTCTGTAGTTCACCGCAGTCCTTCCAGTCCCAGAGTGTCTGTAGTTCACCGCAGTCCTTCCAGTCCCAGAGTGTCTGTAGTTCACCGCAGTCCTTCCAGTCCCAGAGTGTCTGTAGTTCACCGCAGTCCTTCCAGTCCCAGAGTGTCTGTAGTTCACCGCAGTCCTTCCAGTCCCAGAGTGTCTGTAGTTCACCGCAGTCCTTCCAGTCCCAGAGTGTCTGTAGTTCACCGCAGTCCTTCCAGTCCCAGAGTGTCTGTAGTTCACCGCAGTCCTTCCAGTCCCAGAGTGTCTGTAGTTCACCGCAGTCCTTCCAGTCCCAGAGTGTCTGTAGTTCACCGCAGTCCTTCCAGTCCCAGAGTGTCTGTAGTTCACCGCAGTCCTTCCAGTCCCAGAGTGTCTGTAGTTCACCGCAGTCCTTCCAGTCCCAGAGTGTCTGTAGTTAACCGCAGTCCTTCCAGTCCCAGAGTGTCTGTAGTTAACAGCAGTCCTTCCAGATAAATACCGGCGCAAGTTCTTTCCTATTCAGAATCTAACAGTCAGTCTGGCTTTCGACGCTACATAAACTGATTTCTTAATAACGTCGTTAAAAAATCAAGATATAAAACGTTGAAATTGATGAAAATTGCTTGTAATTAGCTTTATTCTACTTGTATTTATTTCCATTCGCTTAGTGGGGGGCGGAGTCCAGTTGGGTCCACTCAGCACGGCGGCCACTGATTGTATACCTGCCCCGGGTGATAATGATGATGGAGAATTTTGGTGGAATGAAGATTGGCAGGGGAAACCGAAGTACTCGGAGAAAACACGCCCCAGCGCTACTTTGTCCACCACAAATACAACTTGACCAGACACGGGCTCGGAACCCGGGCCGCCGCGGTGGGAAGACAGCGACTTATCGCTTGAGCTATGGTGCGGCTTAACTGATGGCTAGATAACTTTTGTGACATATGTACGGTTTATTGTGTGGGTCCTACTAGTTGCTTCTTAACTTCGATTTAATCTTTTGACGTCTTCATAAAAAAGAACTTCATCTCACGGACTTTTACGTCCTTTACACGCAAAATGTTAGTTCTAGCGATTAATCTATGAGTTTCCGTGTTCTAAGAACAAAGCGTAAAGGAGTTCGGCCTTCCTGATAGAAAGGAGATTGAAAATTAAAACACGCCCACTATAATTTGTAAATACCATACTGTCACGTATAAAGGGCTGCGTGACTAATAATTGTAGGTTCTAAATTTGATGATAGGATTTATTTAACGTCTCTGTTGCAATTATAGTTGATTATAGCAGTTCACACATTGAACGCCTAGTTAATAACTAATCTCTCACTGTATTTCTTCTGGCTTTCGGACTTGTCTCTAGTCTTCTACTAGTCAGTACGACTCACTGCGAATCGAATCGAAACTTATGTTACGACCGACGGTCCGTAGGCCAGTCTATCTTGAAATAAAGCACCCGTGTGGGGCTTACAACCAGATTTTTATTACTCTCAGACACTCAGACTGTCTGACAAGAGGACGGGTCTGTCATTTACGATTGCTGCTGGCCCTCGCCAACGTAGTCATTCTCGGGTTCGAGTCCCGTGGGACTCACGACCATATTTTAGTGTCTCAGATTCGATATTTCACTTTTCGTCGCCTCCTGCGACTTTCAGAGCAACGATGGAGGTATTCGACACTCACTGCGAATCAGTTGCATGTCCTTTCATGACCCGGTGCGGACCACAGACAGAACACTCACTTGAACGGTTCGTATGTTGTTATTTACGTGTTCCTTGACATGGTAATGCGTTGTCCAGCAACGGTCTATTCTGCATTGCCACGAGAACGTGCTCAGCGATGCCTCGCCCAGCAGATGATCACATTGCGGCTTTCAGGCGTCATGTCACAATTCGTATCGAAGCGTTTTGCGACATATTTATTGTCCCTAATACAAGAACTGAACTGGCAGCTGAAATATCTTACTGCAGCAGTATGATATTTCGATGAATTGCCTCTGCAGGTATCCAACTGTCGCTTTCATGCGGACTGAGAGTGAATAGCCTCAAATGTAATGTAATAACAAGATGGCCGTCCTTACGTGCAATTTGCAAACTACGTGTATGATGATTTGTGGAGATGCTAGTACTGAGTGTCTCTCATTTACATGTCAATTGAAGTTTAGGTCCATGTGTTTTAACTCCGTAGCCTTAGTTTTCATACTAGAATTTAAACAAACTTCGTGGCCTGTAGTCCGCAAGCGAACTATACCGACCGAGCGACCGCCACTTGTCGTCGAATTTAATGCCAACGTTTGCGGATAGAGGGTGTCACATGGTTAGCGCAACAGATCCCCACTGCCGTTAATCTCGGATTTCTAGACCGGAACCGCTATTTCCTTGAAATAGCTCCTCAATAATCTTCACGAGGTTAAGTGGACCCCATTCCAGACCCACTACTCAGAAAATGCAGTAGCGCCGGAAATCGAACCCGGACCTCTAGATTTGTGGCCGGGAACTCTGATCACCAGACCACAGAGGCGGTTTCAGCCGACAGAAAAATCACAAATAACACTAAACCTTATGTTACACGCATAACAGTATTCTCGAGCTATCAGGAATGTCTGTGGTGAGTTAGAATCCAGTGTTTCAGAGGTCTCCTATCGTCTCCATCTTCAGGGTCGTTTATATCGACCCTGATCTCTAAGACTTTGCTTTTTATCTCAACATTGATATGACTTATCTCCCCAGAAGATATAGTGAATATATTCGCCGTGAAATCTTCCGGTTCTTATCGTTGTTTCAAGTCATGGAGAAACATCTTCGATATTAGTTTATGTCGATGATTGTTCTGTATCCAATTTCGGTAGCATATCGAGTTATACTGTGTCCGGTTTGTGTCTTCAATTGGTACTAAGAACATCTGCTGTTTCTGAACAATCTAAGCACAACTGACCCATAGGTAACAAACTCCATGGAACAGTCGTCAGTAGGAAGTTAATATTAGTGCAGCCACGCAAGAAATCCCTCTCGTTTTGTAGATTCCAAATGTTCAGTTCAGAATTTACAAGAATCTGCCACTGAACCCATCCTAAATCAAGAGAATCCGCAAGCGAACTATACCGACCGAGCAACCGCTGCTTGTCGGCGAAGTTAGTGCCAAGTTTATCGGATAGGGGGTGTCGCGTGGTCAGCGCAACTAATCCCCACGGCCGTTAATCTCGGATTTCTAGACCGGAACCGCTATTTCCTTGAAATAGCTCCTTAGTTATCCTCTCGAGGCTGAGTGGACCCCGTTCCAGACCCACTACTTCTCAGAAAACCTGGTAGCGCCGGGAATCGAACCCGGACCTCTGGATCTGTAGTTAGGAACTCTGACCACTAGACCACAGAGGCGGTCATAGATTATGTCATGTAATACTAAAATGTAAGAATATTCCCTTATATATGATTCAGTAGGGGTCATGCAGTAGGTTAGTTGAGGCACTATGCTACAAGCCGGAAGGTCACAGTATCGAATCCCAATGAGGTCTTTGGATATTCTTTTCAATTGATCTATTCCTTCCAGCCGCACTATGGCCATTGGATCGACTCAGCCTCTAACATAAATTGGAACCAGGAATCTTCCTGGGTCTAAAGAGCGACTGACAACCTCACCGCCATCTGTGATCCGATTGTCTAGAAAATGTGGGAGCCTCGACGTCTCACAACCCTATGGGCCTCCACGGCCTGTTACAGGATATCTTTGCCTTTTACCTTTTATAAGATTCAGTGACCGTAGACATTTTATGGCAGTAGGAAGTATGTAAGTATAGAGAAAGTGTACTACAATATTATCAGCTAGTCGAGGCTTACAAAGGCACATGGCGTGTCACGTGACTGTATGCATTTATATCACAGGTGAAACGATTTCCTGGAAGGAGCCATCTACTTTTTGTCTTTCAGTCTACAGAGAGCTCAGTGGTCTGAAACGCAGAATGGCATTTATCAAATATTCTATACATTTTATATAAGTCGTATGGTTTTCCTTTTTCAGCATATTGAAGTGTGTTCCTGAACGTGATGTCTGATTCCCCGTTGGAAGTACATCGGAGGCGCTGGTGGTCAAGACCATATTACAGCAACACTTGACCTTGCAACAGTGACGAGAATATTGGAAGCAGCCGAGGTCAATCAAGGTCATGCCAGCTGCTAGGGTTCATACCCTACCGAATGAAACAGAGTCGTCTTCAAAGCCGGAATGTGAGTGAAAAAGACTACAAGATAATTTAATTTGAATCCAGAGCCTGTTAACGCTGCCGGTCAGGGTAGCCGAGCGGTCTGAATAATGTACTATGTGTATGTGTTTATTCTGTGTTTGTGTAGTCCTGTGTTTAGGTATAGGCCTTACGACGAGCTGATCACTCGTCCAAGGAATCCTATCGTCTGTAAAATTATAAATTGTGGAAACAACCAAGATGTAACAGGAAGGAAGTCCGTATTTGTATTCGTATTATTAGAGGGGGTGGGTTTCCCCATGCACTTAGACCAGTTTTTGGTCCATTGTTCGTCCCCCTTTAATTTCTACTGTCGCCATACCCTACCGCTAACGGCGCGTGCCATCAGCCCCGTTGAGCCAACGAGGTCGGCCCTCGATACCTTGATGCTTCCCCCATCTACCAGAGGCATTGGGAACTACTTGGGCGGAAATTATTGCCTTTAATTTAGCTCAGAGGTCTCCTAGAGACATGAGATTCTTTTACGTGCCGTAAATCTACGACACGGGACACACGGCTTAAAGTCCCTCCCGGAGGACTTGTTCCCTGAAATTTTCCACCCTTAAAAATTCCACGACCTCCGCCGGGTTTGAACCCTCGTACCTTGAGTCATGAGGTGGGAACGTTACCCCTAGACTACGGAGGCCGCTAGGAAGTAAGTAAACCCATTAACCTCAGTCTTTCTGTAGAAGGCACAGTTAAGGTTCGGCCACACAGAGCCCTACGCTATGTTCGCTACGTACGCTGTGTATACTCTGCGACGCAGCTAACATAGTAAACGTAGCGTACGGAAGTCTGTGTGGCCAGTCACATTGGCAATAAAGGGAGATATTTTTGTGTTCATATAGCGAACATAGGCTCTAACCGAAACATTTGTAAGTCGGGTGTTTTAAAACATTCAGCTTGTAGCTTATCTGTGCTTGTTTGTAACATGAGAGATGGTCAATTGTTTGTATTTTAAGTGTCAGCACTTTATACGTGGGTTGCTTCAAAAGTCATGGCAACTAATTTTTGGGGGCAAACACTTTACAGTGAAGAAAGTTCAAAATTTCTAATTTCTAATTTAGGGTTATAAAGTGTGAAACCCCGCAACTGTGAGATAAGTAATTGTAGCCGTTACTTGTAGATTGTTAAATAAACCAATTAACCATCTCTACGGCGTCTTCAGTAACGAAACACGTTACATTGGTGTCAGAAGTGTTACGAACTTAAACGCCACAAATTGAATTATTGTGCATCGTGTATTCTACTGCGACAAGATGGAGATGCAGCAGATGATGGAAATGCTGGCTAGGATGGACGCCGATAGAAAGGAAGAAAGGAAGGCGGAGAACGAAGAAAGGAAGGCGGAGAAGGAACTTCTACTGAAGGAAATCAGAGACAACCAAGTAAAAGCAGATGCCGACCGAGAGCGAATGGAGGCCAATAGGAAGAAAGACAAAGAGGATTTCCTGGCGAAATTAGAATTAGAAATTTCAAAATTAAGGGCATGATATACCCCTCCGATTGGCTTAGTTAGATCAGGTAGATCAGGTATAGTAGGCAAGAAAAATTGCACATTACGGAATGACTGTTTTTTTTTTCATTCTTTAATCCTCGAAAAATTCAATTGTGATTAAAAAATAAAAATGTTTCGTAAAATTCGATGCACAGTTGCCTGTTCGATCCCTGTATGTTTCTCTAACTCCTTCAGAGACCAGCGCCTATCTTCCTCCATGCACTGGGCGATCACGGCACGAGAAACATCAGTACGAACGGACACAGGGCGTCCACTACGTTGCAAGTCGGCACTTGCTTCCCTTCCACGTTGGAATGCTTCTGTCCACCTTGCAACAGCACGATCACCCAGAGCTTCCACAAGCTCTGAATGACATTCAGTCGCATTTCTGCCGCGAAGCACTGCTATTTTCACGTAACAGCGCTGTTCCAGCCGGCTAACGTTCATTCTGGACGAAGGGTATGATCACAGTGACTTCGCGCTGGACTCGCTTCGTTGTCCTTGGACTTCCGCATCGTCTAGTGGCATCATTAGAAATCAGACGTTGCTGTCTCTCAGCGGCAAATTTGGAAATTCCAGTCGGAGCTTTCGAAATTTCGGAAAAATTATGTTGCCATGACTTTTGAAGTAACCCACGTTTGTTACCTACCTACCTACCTCTCGGCTACTGTGACCGGCAGTGTATAAGAGTAATATATAAGAATTCAGTTCGTACCTCACAGGAAATAAGAGCCAAACCCACGGTCCCGGCTTCCGAGCGAGCGAAGACAGTACATGCCTTAGACCGCTCGGCTACCGTGACCGGCCTTATATCGTAAATACTGTATGGTGATCAGCAAATGCAGTATTAAACTGCTTAAATGTAAATGTGAAAGCAAATTGACTGGCTCCCTCCCCCCCATAGCTTGGAATAAACCTAGTGGTGCCTCTAATTACTAAGCTCTTATTACAAATGAAGCCACGTTAATTGAAATCTCTTCACTCCGAGCCGGCCTATAGTTTGTTCTTGAGTTCCGGTCGCTGTTTACACGTAAAATATATTCATTAATCTTTTGAATGTATAATTTTAGTAATACATTTGAATGTTTCATTTGAAATGCAGTAAACCGAATGATTTGGTAGTCCGAAAGCACCAGTGTTTTAATTAGTTCGGATTACTGAATTTGCGCTGTACTGTTATAGAACATGCGTACTCACATTAATTCCTAAAATCAGCGTGTCAATTCGTTAATCTTTCTGTCCCCTTCCCCGTACCGTTTTTATTCAGAACCGTAATTAATACAAAATGTGGAATCTTATCCGTCTGCATATCTCATCTCTGAAAGTGCCCAGTGGATTTCCATCAAATTTGATATTAAGGTTTACAATAAAATTTTCCCTCCAAATTTAATATTCGGTTTTATCATTTCGATTTAAAACTTTTTTTTTGTACGGAAATATCAAATAGATTATCACCTCAAAAATCGCTTGTTGCATGAAAGCTAAGGGTTTGAGTATATAAACTTTATAACTTTCTACAACTTTAAGATGTACGAAATAATTACAAAGGCAAGTCCGTCCAATGTGACTTGTCTTTTGTAATTGTAACTGTTAGTGTGACAGACCAAAATGAAACAAATCAAATTCATGTATGAAATATTTTTCAACGTGTTAAATACTTAACAAAGTACAAATAAATTTAATTTTTCTGTGCAATGTGATATTTATAATAATTCGCAACCACACATTATATTCAGGATTTGCGTGTATTTTTCTGATCCTGTTGGTTATAAATAATATATAATAACAAAAGCTATTAAGAGCAATGATATTGTATCAAAAGATGCATATTGTCACGTGTAGGGTGGTACGAGTGACGAAAGTAACGGGTTCTAGTTCGGATGATTGGATTTATTGGTACTTTGTTTACAGTTTCTCCTAATTACAAGCAATAAGCGGTATCTCTGGTTTACACAATTTACATTTCACCGTTACACACGCACTAGGATTCTCAATCTCCACTAGTCGTCTCCTAGCAACGGATCTCAACACAGAAACTAACACTTCAAATCACTGTGAATTCTTCTTGCAGTTTCTTGTTCAATCACCCAGGAAACTTGGAACTCAACTAAAAGCTCTTCTGTACTCTTAGCTGCAGTGCACTGCACTGCACCGCGCACTAGTCTTATGTCAAAATCACTTTACGACTGGCGGTTTACAGTCAGTTAGTTCATCTTGGCGTCAGGCCCCTTGAGGACCACGACCAGAGATTCTTTTTTTTTCAAACTGAACGCTTGGGTAATAGTCCTTATGTAACATCCTCTCTGACGAGAAGATGAGTTTGTCTCTTTTGAATACGCTTGGCCTTTCGTCAAAAGTACGAGGAGCGTTCCGTATATAATGCCTCCTATTTTTCTTATGAAAACTACAACAGATACAGAAAGCATACTAACTCAGTTAAATAGAGCAAGATTTCAGCTACTTACAGTTATTTTTCCACATAATCACCACCATTCGTTATGCACATTTGCCAGCGATGAACAAGAGCCTGTATGCCGCGTCCGTAAAAGTCTGCGCCAGCAGAGGCTAGCCACTTTCTTACAGCTGCAATGACAGCATCGTTGTCTGGAAAATGTTGCCCACGTAGTCCGTCTTTCATAGGCCCAAAGAGATGGAAGTCTGAAGGTGCTAAACCGGGGCTATAAGGTGGATGTGGTAGGACAGTCCAGCCAAACTTTGCAATGTGCGCGGTGGTCGCCAAACTGGTATGGGGTCTAGCGTTATCATGTTGCAAGCGAAAGGTTGTCTGCTTCTCTGGCCTAACTCGGTAAATGCGGGCTTTCAGCTTAGTCAGCGTCGTCTTGTAGCGTTCAGAATTGACAGTCTCACCAGGCTCCAGGAAATCCAACAAAATCTCACCCTGCCTATCCCAAAAGACCATGCACATCACTTTCCCTGCCGATGGCTGAATCCGGATGTCGCCACTCCATGGACTGTCTTTTGGATTCCGGCTCGTAGTGGTGACACCACATCTCATCTCCGGTGACGTGCTGTCCAGAAACTTGTCACCTTCAGCTTCAAACTGGTGCAACAGGTCCTGACAGACTTCCATTCGATGAGTTTTGTGGTCCTGTGTAAGCATCTTCGGGACCCCTGGAATAAACTTTGCGATAATCCAGCTTCCCCAACATCGTTTCCAATGCATTACAGCCGATATTAAGCCGTGCACACAGTTCCCTGATCGTTATCCGCCGATCTGCACGGATGAGCTGATGGCGGCGCTGTTAATTGTGAGGAGTGGCAGCTGAGCAGGGACGCCCAGGGCGTGGTTTCTCGTGCACTTCTCTTTCGACACTGTTGAAACGCACTACCCACCGCCTCACCGTGCTGACTTCCACTGTATTGTCTCCGTACACCTTTAGCAAGTATCGATGGATGTCAGTGCCTGCAATTTGTTCGGCAGTGACAATAACACATCTCTGTTTCGTACGCACTTCTATGTCAGACGCCATTTTGGTAGACTGCTCTGCTGTCGCTATCTGTCGCACGACAACCAAACTAACAGTACATTGGCAGGAAGGTTCAACCTTTACTACAACATCACCAACATCCAGCTCAGACGTTACAGATTAACACAGAAAAATATGAGGCATTATATACGGAACGCCCTTCGTTTATTTCTCACATTTAATTCTTCCTTTTGCACTACGTACAAGTCCTCTGTCAGTACAGGGACAGTTCATTTTCTGCCGACCACTTTCAGAAACGCGTATAGGAAGCGGTACGTTGAAGAGAGTGAATGACTTCGTAACAGGAAATATTTCCTGGACTCACCGCGTGGGCGCCTGTGCAAACAGAGTGGGATGAAAGAAAAGCTTTCACGCTAAAGTACGGCGGGGTGCTCCCCCCGTGAACTTCATACATATTACCATCCATAAAGAGGATTAAGTATCACGTGACCTTGAACCAAAACTGTTGTCTCTGCTACAAGAGGCGGTGAAGGGCGTGAACTTCATAAAATTTCGCCCATAGAACTCTGGCGTGTTTACACATTCGTAAATACAGACGATAAGCCGCATCTCTAGTATTTTGTTACGTAGTAATTTAACGAATATAACTGAGCTTCAAGGATTAAAAACAGTAGGTGCTTCATGAACAGACTACTTCACCTGAGCCTGGATCTGTTTTCCTATTTCGTTTCTTTTGAGATTTTGTTTATCGTAAAACCAATTTGATCTATGTATAAATTATACACTCAGCCCATTAGACACACAAAATAAAACAAAACTCCGTGGTTTTAGTCGCAATCGAACTATACCGACCGAGCGACCGCCGCTTGTCGGCGAAGTTAGTGCCAACTTTAGCGGATAGAGGATGTCGCGTAGTCAGCGCAACGGATCCCCACGGCCGTTAATTTCGGTTTTCTAGACCGGAGTCGCTACTTTTCCATTCAAGTAGCTCCTCAGTTATCGTCACGAGGCTGAGTGAACCTCGTTCCAGACCCACTACTTATCAGAAAATCTGGTAGCGCTGGGAATCGAACCCGGACCTCTGGATGGGTAATGAGGAACTCTGACCACTAGAACACAGAGGCGGTCTCTCACGTCACAAGGTGTTCTTAAATGTTCAGATATTCATATTTTGAGGTCCAGTTCAGGTCTGCTTCCCAATGAAGTTTTATCTGCTACAGGCCATACTGTTAACAAATCCCCATACATAATGTCCCTTTTAAACGGACTATTAAAATGAGCTTGCAGAGGTCAAACTGCACCCCGAATGCAATTCGATCGTTTGGTATTAATGTTGTGCTAAATTTATCATTGCAAGTTCCCTTGGATTCTGTTTTCATTCCATTTTGCCGTTATCTCAATAATGTAATCACTATTACAAATAATCCTGACACTACATAACCTCTGTACTTGACATAGTAACGATGAATCTCATATAAGTTAGTTAATCATAGCCTTGATTACAAAATGCATAAGTGTGAGATAAATATAATTCGGTGTAAAGATTAATGCAGAATGTTCTTTTCTTTAGGTAGTAACAATGCAGGAACTCCATACCAACGATTGCTTCATTCTCTTCACCACGACCAACGATGGCTGACAGAAGTAAATCTTGGCAAGCGAGTTGGCTTCTATCGTTTTCGAGGGGAACTAGGCAGTGGCAATTTTTCGCAGGTGAAGATGGCGGTACATCAGCTCACAAAAGGTAAGGCCGAAGTAAATTATGGTTTATCTTAATGTAGCAAAAGTAATTTTCAGGAGGGCCGCGCCATAGCTCAAGCGGTTAGTCGCTAGCATCCCACCGCGGCGGCCCGGGTTCAATCCCGGTTCTGGTCAAGTGGGATTTGTGGTGGACAAAGTGGCGCTGGGGCGGATTTTATCCGAGTACTTCGGTTACCCCTGACAATCTTCATTCCACAAAATTGTTCATCATCGTAATCACCCAGGGCAGGTACAATAGGCCAATCAGTGGCCGCCGTGCCAAGTGGACCCAGCTGGACTCCACCCCCCACTAAGCGAATTAAAAAAAAATCCAGGATATAGGTACTCCTTGGCTTATTCGGAAATTGTGTTAAAATGAAAAGTTGCACAAATACGGAAATCCTCTACTGAAGGTTTCCGTGTACCCTCAAAGACCCAGTTGAAGTTGTGCAACTAGGCCAAAATTTCCTTTCTCACCTTGTATTCGTCTATCACTACCACAACGTCTCCCATTTGCACAGCAAGCAGTTCACAGCAAACTAAATGTTGTTCGTTAAAACTGATCAAATTATATTGATCGCCTTAAAATCAAATCACATTTATTAAAATTTACTTATATCAAGGAATACAGAAGCTTCAGTCTGCCAAAAATAATGCTGTGATTATAAACGTCCGCAACTCAGAAACGGAAACAAAGATAACGACGTTGGTACTTGCGGTGTGCGGTAGCGTAGTTGTCTGAAGCACTGTGCTACAAGCCGGAAGGTCGCAGGTTCAAGTCCCGATGAGGTCATTGGATTTTTTTTTTCAATTGACCTAATCCTTCCAGCCGCACTATGGCCTTGGGGTCGACTCAGCCTCTAACAGAAATAAGTACCAGGAATATTCTTGAGGGTAAAGGGCGGCCGGCGCGTAGGGCTGACAACCTTTCCGCCATCTGTTAGCCGATTGTCTAGAAAATGTGGAACCTCAACATCTCACAACCCTATAGGCTTCCACGGCCTGTTACAGGGATAGCTTTACTTACTTTTTAATTGCGGTGTAATCGTAAACTCAAACATAATTATTCATATAAGTTGCACGCGCATCCTAACTGTAGCTAATGATCAGCAGCTCTGATTACGTGTTTTGCGCGATCAGTAAAATTTTTACCGATTTCTACTATACAGCTGAAAGAAGAGGTCCGAAACCATACAAATTACAGGTAGTCAAAAAACTTACAGCACTTGAAAAATAGCGGCACACGTGTGGCACAAATTCTGGAACACGTATTTTCCTATCACTGGACCTGTAAGCAGCCATAACTGTCACCTGAGCCAGTGAACCTCTCAGAGAACATTTAGAATGTGACCGGTAGGTCCTAAAGGGAATGCGAGGTGCGTGCTGGCACGGCCCTTTTCATTTCTCTTTTGTGAGGACATCATTGCAAGCAGTTTATTGAAAGACATGTTGGAAAATTGTGTTCTTCCACAGTTCAAAACAACAACAACATTATTCTTCAACCGAGCCCTGCAAATGTTCATTTTGCTCACATTGTCCGTGCCTGTTTGAACGTGAACTTCCCAGGTTAGTGGATAGGAGGAGGAGGACCATTTGCATGGCCCCCACGCTCTCCTGACTTTATATTTCAGCATCCTGTTGCATTGATAAATCATTTGTTTGCTTGCTTCTGTCTCTACTGTAACACTACCTTTTATTTTAAAATGTCATTTACGTTCACAATGACCGCGTCTGTGGACTAGTGGTCAGAATTCCTCACTACTGATCCAGAGGTCCGAGTTCTATTCCCGGTGCTACCAGATTTTCTGAGAAGTAGTGGGTCAGGAATGGTGTCCACTCAGCCTCATGAGGTTAATTGAGGAGCTATTTAAAGGAAATAGCGACTCCGGTCTAGAAAACCGAAATTAACGGCCGTGTGGATTCGTTACACTGACCACGCGACACCCTCTATCCGCTAAAGTTGGCATTAACTTCGCCGACAAGCGACAGTCGCTTGCGGACTCAAGCCACGGAGATTTTTTATTTACGATCGCATTTAAAATACATAACATGTAATTAAAATCACATTTCGTTTAATTGTTGCAACACGTTTGGGCCCTACAACCGTCCTCAGGCAACTGTTGACTGAAATCGCCACACTGTATCAGCTCATGCGTCAATATATTTACATGCTATTATTGCACGTCCTTATTCGAGAATATATGCCCACACTTCGGTCTCGCCATTTTCATACTGCGGCGTCCGCGCTGCGTTCTTTTTATGCACAGTTTACCTTTTTATTATTACCAGTAGGGTGGGAGTAAGTCCCTTGTACTGCGGCCACTTCTGGCCTATTGTACCAGCCCCAGATGATAGGTGAGGGTGGTTGTGGAGCAATTGGTGGAATGAAGATTGGCAGGGGAAACCGAAGTACTCGGAGAAAACCTGCCCCAGCGCCACTTTGTCCACCACAAATCCCACTTGAGCAGACTGGGGATCGAACCCGGGCCGCCGCTGTGGGAAGCCAGCGGCTAACCGCTTGAGCTATGGCGCGGCCCCAACAGTTTACCTTAGTGTATCGCTTGTACTGGTCAAAGAAAATCCCAATGGAGATAAATGTATTCCAAGTTTTCTGCACTTACACCTAAATAAAATTTTAGATATGCACTCTTACATCATTAAGAGCAGAAAGTATTTGGTCTCGTCCCATTCAAATGCTCAAGATGAGTATTTCTTTACAAAATTGAAACTTACCTCGTTTGGATTCCATTCGTCTCTTGCAGATAAAGCAAAGGAATACCTGATGGGCATATTTGCAAGGGTACTTGACAGGCTCTTGGGTTCTCCCAACCTCCTATCCAATGGGTACTGGGGACTCTTTCCCCAGGGGTAAAGCGGCCGGGTCGTGAAGCTGACCACGTGCCTCCAGCTAGTACCGAGGTCAAGAAAATATGGATCTATACATCCACTCCCCCATACACCTTCATGGCGTAGTGCTTAATTAGTTAAGTACAGGAACAACTTTACCTTTTACCTGATGCCTTTGTTTGTTTGTCAGTGTATCTGGATTTGAACTAAGGAAAGACCAGCTTCAAATCTCAGTGCAACAACCAATCATTCCGACACATTTTTTATGATTATCTTTTTCTCTCCAGAAAGCTGTTAGGATAGTAATACATTCTTACAAATCCTAACATACCCCCTCATGAACACGTTGCCATCTGACTGGACGTTATACAGACTGACTGCACAGCTGGAACAACGCTGTTAAGGAACTATTCAGACTGTCCATATGTGAATCAGTACTATTCATTTGAGCTTAAATGGGAGAAGAAATGTAGTTGAGCTTTTGATTTACATATACAGTGTGTTCCATTTAAACCTCCCACATTTTAATTAATCATTGTGAACAAATTGTGATAAATTATGGGTTATAATTAACACTAGATGAAAGAAAACTCAAAAAAATTTATTTCTGTTTTTCTTCGGTGAAGCTACAGTATCTGGCAGCATATAGCTTGACATGTTAGAACAGTCCCTGTATCCCCGGGTAGCTGATCTGCTGCCTAACACAATCTTCCAACAAGATGGAGCCCCCCCACTTTGGGGTCTGGATGTTCGGAGGTCCCTCAATGCCGCCTTCCAAGATGGCTGGATTGGATGTGGTGGACTAATTCGGTGGCCACCACGTTCACCGGACCTCACTCTGCTCAATTTCTTCCTCTGGGGTTACGTGAAGGACCGTGTGTTCGTACCTCCCATGAATGACCTCCCAGATTTACGAGCCCACATCCGTGAAACGATTGCTACTGTACCAATGGACATGTTGGAAAGAATGTGACAAGAAATTGAATACAGATTGGATATTAGTTACTATAGGATTCTGACGATGGTGTATAACACACTGATATGTTAGGTTTTTGGACTTTATCCATCGTCCTGGTTTTTAAGATAACAAATGAAAACACGACGTTTCGGAAACTGGATCTGTTTCCATCCTCAGGTGAAGGAAAACCCTATTCAGCTGGGTCCGTTAGAAAGAGCTAGCCTCAATCACTGGACAAACCAATGTCACAAAACATGAAGATTATAAACACCTGAGACCAGGCTAAGTCCATGAGAGCTAATAAGAAAAATATTCATAACAAATTGTAGCAAACACTTACAAGCGTGGAACCAGGATAAGTGTAAGTGTTTGCTACAATTGGTTATGAATATTTTTCTTATTAGCTCTCATGGACTTAGCCTGGTCTCAGGTGTTTATAATCTTCATGTTTTGTGACATTGGTTTGTCCAGTGATTGAGGCTAGCTCTTTCTAACGGACCCAGCTGAATAGGGTTTTCCTTCACCTGAGGATGGAAACAGATCCAGTTTCCGAAACGTCGTGTTTTTATTTGTTATCTTAAAAACCAGGACGATGGATAAAGTCCAAAAACCTAACATATCAGATTGGATATTGTTCGTGCTACCAGTGGTGCACATGTAGAGGTTTATTAGTGTGTCAAATACAATTGTTTGAGTTCTTGTATTTCCTGTAACTTCATTCTGCTACCATTCATACTTTCTGTTCTAAGATCTGATAAAATGTGGGAGGTTTGAATGGAATACTCTGTATTAGAATGTTGTCAGTGGAATGTGCAGAACTGTGTCTAATGCCACAGTAAGTGAAGGCATAAACGTGTGTTATGTAACAAAAAGAATACCACAGGTTCCTGTTATATGTATAATTATTCATCAAAATCTGACATATTTCTGACAGACACATGCACAGTGATCATATGGTGCTGTGTGTTACAAGGCCACATGAATATCTATGTCAAAGGGATGAAGGAACTTGGTATGTAGTTTGTGACATAACTTTTTTTTGGCTACCCCATGCTGATCATCAGTTGGTTAATCAAGGATGGAGATCTTAGTTAAGAGTAAAAGTAGATTAGGCTTTGTCTTTCTAATACAGAAATGTGCTACAAGAACTATGAACGGAAGTTCACATTGTAATAACTGCTGTCATACAGATATTTTGAAATTTTATAATTCTTGTTGTTCCACTCTCGCCAGAACGTGTTGCTGTCAAGATACTGGACAAAGCTAAACTGGACCAAAAGACCCGGAGAATGCTTGCCAGAGAGATAGCAACTATGGAATCTATACATCATCGTAACATAATCAGGTGAAAACATATTATTAAAATGTTATACCAGTACTACTTTCTACAAGTGAGTTAAAAAAATTCAATATCATTTTAATATGCTCAACAAATTGAGACTGATTTCAACTAAGAACATTTGCTTCATTGTTACTGGCCAACTGAGAGAGACTGAGTTAACTGGTAGAGTACTGTGTGGGTGACAGAGGAGGAACATGAGGTAAGAGAATTGAGTTAGATTTTTGTGTTTTCAGTCTCTGTGACTTTCCTTTGGAACACAAATGTTGCATAAATTGTGGAGCACCTGTGTAATATTTTATTGTAGTAGGTGACTTGCATTTCACATTATGTATGCATATATATACAAGATTTCATGGATTGAAAAATAAAAACTACATCTTTTGTGGCATTATCTAAAACATTGTTTTACATAGGTGTTATATATTGTCTTGCTTGTGTTGTTTCTATCCTTTATGCTGTTGTATTTTTACTACTAATGGTAGGACAAACAGTACTAGAACACAAGTCATGTTAAGTAAACTTGCATTAAAATTCACCACAAAACAATATATGAGTTAGTTATCAGAAGGAAGATGTGTAAAATGTTTTCTCATTTCACAGGTTGTATGAGGTGGTAGAAACATACAGTAAAATACACCTCGTTATGGAATATGCATCTGGTGGTGAGCTGTTCAACAAGATAACAACAGCAGGAAAGATTGCTGAGAATGAAGCTAAAAACTTGTTTGCTCAAGTGATCTCTGCAGTTGAGTTCATGGTAAGTTTTCTAAGTTAGATTTCTTATTTTTTATACTTAGCTTAAAACACCAGGAGAATAATGACTGATTATGCCAAAGAGAAACTGTCATCTCTTTTGTTAATAATCACATCTTTAACACCTATGGAATTCTTGGAAGTAAAGCTTTATGCGCCGGTCACAGTAGCCGGGCGGTCTGAGGCATGTACTGTCTTCGCTTCCTTGGAAACCGAGATCGCGGGTTCGAATCCAACTCAGGGCATGGGATGTTTAGTTTGTGTGTGTGCGTTTTTCTGTGTTTGTGTACAGGTAGAGACCTTGCAATGAGCTGATCACCCGCCCAAGGAGTCCTACTGAATGTGTTAGATCTAGAAAAACCGAAGTGAATGGAGAAGTTCATGGAGGTAGGCCTAGGCCCACTGGGGCTGTAGTGCCAAGGAAAAAAAAACTTTATGCATCTTAAGCCACACATTAGGTGAATAGCTTCCTGCTTCAGCCCTCTTGACAAGGCTGTGTAGAAGGTTAGTTGAATCCAAATGGACGAGGAAGATCCTACTGAGTCAAGACCTTACCGCCACTCTGAATATTTTGTCAGTGCAGTAATTATTCTACATTGAACAACATGAATAAACCAAGAAATGAAATTTATAGTGTAGAGCGGTGAACTGATTTCCTCTTCCCATTAAGGAGTTAATCATTCTATTTTTTTTGCTACTGCTAATTCCATTATTAATTTCATAATTATACATGACACAGTACTGCCATATAATCAAGTAATTAAGCCACGAAATACTGATTAAGAAATTTGGACTTGGCTGACTTTATTGTGAACATTGAAGAGGACCTTAAAGCCTGGGAGATCTTGATAGATGACTTCATGATTTATGTTTATAGATGAGCAAATTACATTTTAATAATCCAAAATACCGGCACCTTACTCTCATGTACAACTAAATTAGTGTAATATTTTTTTCAGCAACAGTCCAGTTTATGTTAACAGCCACGAAAATATAAATGAAGCTTCAGAAATATTCTTGTAAATTGCCGTTGTTAATATGATGATGGTGATAACGATGATGATGACAGTGATTATGATGATGGTAGTAATAATGACAGCGATGACGATTACAAAGGCTACAACAGACCCAACAACTACAACCTGTGGAATTCTTGTCATCATTCCTATGTGTACATATGAAAAACAATGCATAATGTAGTTTGTATTTTTTGCAGCATGACCATGACTTTATTCATCGAGACATCAAAGCTGAGAATGTTTTTTGTGCTGGGCCAGGATTGGTAAAGCTTGGTGACTTTGGATTTAGCACACAACTTATCGATGGTATGTAAAGAGCATGGCTGTAAGTTTCTTAAAATAACAAAAAGATGTATGGCAAGGGTATAAGTTTTGTAATGATCACATCTGCATGCATCCAGGATTTGTAGTGTATTCAGAAAAGCTGAATCTGGTAATATCAGTTAAAGCTCTTTGATTTCATATTGTCACCATGTTTAGTGACTAGACATGGGGTTTGCATTGGTAGTCAGATTTATTTAACTCTGACAAACCATAACTAGGCAAAGAGAAAGAAAAAAAGAGACTCGATATTAATCATTCAACTTTCCTTAATTGTGGTATCATTCATATGAATCCTGAAGATTATACAGTATATATATTACTACATCATATTATATTACACTATACCTTATACTACAATGTATTAAATGATACAATATTATATTTCCCATCGTGTAATATATTATATGAGTGTTAATAACTGCTTCAGCTCTGCTATAGCCCAATCAAGTGTTTAGTTGCTGGCTTCCCATTGCGGCTGCCCGGGTTTGATCCCAGGCCTGGTCAAGTGGGATTTGTGGTGGACAAAGTGACGCTGGGGCAGGTTTTCTCTGAGTACTTCGGTTTCCCCTGCCAATCTTCATTCCACCAATTGCTCCACAATCACCCTCACCTATCATCTTGGGCTGGTACAATAGGCCAGAAGTGGCCACAGTACAAGGGACTTAGTCCCACCCCACTAGCAATAATAATAAAAGAAAACTGCTTGTATGTTCAGGTAGTGGACAGCAGTTGAATACATTCTGTGGCTCCCCGCCATATGCAGCACCTGAATTGTTCAGGGATGAGAGCTACTTGGGGGCACCTGTAGATATTTGGGCTCTTGGTGTGCTCCTGTATTTTATGGTCACAGCACAGATGCCATTCAAGGCCCAAACTGTTGCAACGCTTAAGAAACATATACTAGAAGGGGTGTTCTCTATCCCTGGATATGTTTCCTTTCAGTGCAGGAAAGTAATCGGTGAGTAAGACATTTTTGCTAAACAATATATCCTCTATTCTTTGAAGTAAAAATGAGAGTGGAGAAGTGTAATGGAATATATATATTTTCAAAATTTCTCCTTTGCTATTTTTTTTATTTCGTTTACCTCGACATTCATATATTGCAGGCACAAATCTGTTCTTGAAAACTGATTTTACTGCAGAAAAATGACGTTTTCTTGTGTATCATTAAATATTTACAAGTAGGAGTTGTAGATCTTAATGAGTACTTGTTAGTCATACATTGATGCCTTATGTAACAAGTTTTCTTGAGGAAGCTGGCGAAGTTAAATTTCAGCTAGAGGTTAAAACTGAATGGTATCCACCCACTTATATTTGCATGGAAAATTATTAGTGTGGATCTACAAATAAAATTTCATCAAGAATTTGCATTAATTCCAGAAATGAAACATCTGAACAAACAGATATATCTTTTACATCATGAATTTATTTCCAACATTTGTGTAAATAATTAGTGAATATGGCTTAAATTACAATGTTTCTTCAACAAGTGCAGAAGTAAAATAAATTGTTTGTCACTGTATGTATTTTTCACTTTTCAGTGCAACTGTTATTTCCTTCATCCATTTCTCTTTGTTAAAAAATAAATATTTTGCTATCAGAAATATTCTTCCCTATTGACTAAGCAAGTCTGATTAATGGTAATGCTCTAGATTTAATTCAGAAAATAGTGTATATCTTGGCTAGGATTTCAGTTCATCTCAATTAGATTTTTCACGTTTTCCTGTCTCTCTGGACAAATCCTAGGGGAGATCCTTCCAAACCTGTATGTGGTTAGAGTTTATAATCATTTCCTCATCTCATTCAACACTGTACAACCTTCACAGCTGAAACACTGTCATACAATAACCTCTAAGTTATTTGGACATATCTGGGCCTCTCTGTATCCTGAGTAGTGCCATTCTCAAACTGTTTTTTTTTTATGTTGCCAGAAAATTAGCCAAACTAACTTCATGGAGCTGAGCCCTTCTTGAGAAGCAGATAGTTGTGCAGTTACTCAAGAACTTTCCAGTATTTTATGGAACCTGCGACTTTACTCTTATAATGTGTTTCCTATTAATTCTGCTTTGAATGTTCTTGAATAGATATTATATTTTGAAACAGAGACGCCCTCCATAATTTGTATACTTACTCTTACCTCCTTTGTTACATGTCTGAATTATTAATGCTTGCTTCCATTCTGAAGTATCCTTCCAGCATTTTGAATATTATGAAATAGCTATATTAGATTAGATATTTTTAAATTTATATTTAAAATGTTAATGCAATTTAATTAGTTTTATATACCTCTTAATTTCAACTATTACATGACATGTAATATAAGACAGAACAAAAAATGTGAATGAGAAAATTTTTTAGATGTCTGTGTATAATTATTGTAATTCAACATTCTGCTGAAGTCCAATTTTAAATTTTGAAATATGTTGCGAATGCATTGAACTGGTATATATGTAAAAGGGCCATATGATATAAGTAAAATGCTAAATAATAAAGTTGCTGCTATATGTGGTTATTAATTGATTCAACTTGTTACAGAAGGGATTCTGAAGAAAGTACCCCAGGAACGGCTAAGTCTTCAGGAGATTCGTAACTCAGATTGGTTGAAAGGTGTTACTTTCCCTGTAACTCCAGGAGTTTCGGAAAGTTATAGCTTATCACCAACCTTCCATAAACCAACTTCTACAACACCTGAGAAACATTCTGAAAATGTGTCAGGGAAGACAGATAGCCCAGAAAGAGTACCTGTTAGTGAAGGAAACAAAGAAAGTTTGCAATGTGAGAGTGACATGACAGTGAAGGAAAATAGTATAGACAACCAGAGTTCAGTAGAGGGGTCATTAACTGTACAGACAGACTTAATCAACAGGAAGCAAAGTTATAGTGGGTCTGAGAAGAGAGAAAATGAGATTGTTGCTACTGAAATGTTGGCCAGAAAGAAGTTATTAGATTTTGGTATAACAAGTGCCATGCTTGAAGAACATTCTAGTCGGGGAGCAAGAAGTGCCATTATAGGAACATACAGAATTGTAATACATCGAATACAACGCCAAGGTCATGTGGATGTAGATACTGCTTCTGTAGATGATGTAGATGGATTGCCATCTGCTGTTCCTAGTAGAAGCACATCAGCAAATCATTTTTTCCTTCCACCATTTGGCAGAAGAAGCAAATCAGCAGCAGTTAAATCGAAGGGGCATAAACCAGATAAAAACAACAGGTCACGCACTTGTATCCTCCTGTGATAAAGTTTCAAGTGAATGATGTCCTTAAATTTCCTGATGCAGCCAAAAAATGACCATTTGTATGGTTCATGTTTGCACTTCAGAAAATTTGATATCTATGTATAATTATCTACTTGCATAGTTCCTCCTCCCTTAATTTAGAGGTTGAAAATGAAGTTCTTTCATTACATATGTTCCTAGCCATTATTTTACTACTAGAACTGCTTGATGTGGACCCTTCCATTTCGAATTATTAGTGACAAAACGAAAGTTGTTAAAACATTTTCTAGCCATGAAGGCACAAGAATTATTTTGGTGTTCATTAGTGTACAGTAATTTTAGTTGATCGGCACATCTACTCATTATTCAGTCCACATTTATTTGGCATCAGATTAAAACGAAATGATGATGATCTGTGTATGCCACATCATGAGTTACAGAATCCATACTGGTCTCAGAAGAAGCACCATGATTTTCATGATGTGTAAATATCTTGCATATTTTAATATGCCAGCTGCTAAAATTTTACATTTTGGCTACATCTATATTAATGTTAATGCAAGAAAGGTTAAGAATCTTTTTTAGGGAAACTATAGAAATGTGTTATATTTGTTATAAATACCAAGTGATCAGAAAGAACAAAGAATTTAAGGTAAATATAAACAATAGACAGACATGTCTCCATAATATTGATGAAGTACTTGTAACCTGAGAGATGTACAAGTATTACATATGATTGTTGATCTTTTTTTCTGTATTTCATTCACACATTGTTTTATACAAATGTGAAACAGGGTCAAAACATAGTTTTTATATTTATTCAACCATTGGCTGTTTAGTTAATCTTATAATCACATTTGTTTTTAAAAGTGTAACAGGATTATTTTACAAACAAACAAAATGATATTATTCTGAAGTATATTTTAATGTTAGCTTTCCTACCAGCTAAAACTGTGACATTTTATTTTGTATATATTTTATTTATTTAAAATAATAATTTAAAACCCCAGATACCTCATGTTGCTTAGGATATCACTAACTATTGAACTTTAGACCACTGACTGATTTGAAATAATAATTTCCATTTTATATGTGAAACAAAAAATCTGTTAATTGGGTATGCAAATTCTTTGTCATTCTTCAACTTTCATTTAACTCATAATTCAACGAATGTGATGTATATTAAAATTACAGATCTGTTTACAAGGACAATATGCTGTCACAAATTTTCAGTGAGTGAATAAAAATGGTTTTCAGCCCAGAAAGAACCTGATGTTTTCACAGCGGTCATGGTTCATATTGTTGTCTTCTGGGTTAGGACATTGTATAGTGTGGTAGGTGGTCATAGATGTTTCAGAAGGGCATAATTCTTCCATATTCCATCCCAAAGTTGGAGACAGGATATTCTTTTGAAATACTGGTAACCACATACCAGGCTACCCAAATTTCATAATCCAGAAGACTACAGTATGACTCTGTACAGAGACTAGATCTATAGTTTTGGTCCTCATTTCAAATGTTAAAGGCTTGGCAATATTATTATCCTTTAAAAGTTCCACAACATTTGATATTCTCATGTTATAAAAAAATATTAACTGAAAAAATGTCTGATTTAATTACCGATAAGATTCAATTAAGATGTTAAATTACAGTTAATTAATATTTTCAAGTCTTTAATAATCATTTCAGTATCAATGATCAGTGAACACCCATACACATGTGCATCCAGAAATAATTAATTAGTGCTTTTCTTCAAAGTTTGCAATGCTTCCCCCCCCCAGAAAGCATCCATACTAGTAAACTTGTAAGAAGTGACACTGATTTTGAGATTAAACCAAGTGTGAGAATGTTAAGAACCATTTGTTTAGAGAAGATACACTTCTTATATCATAAGCCATATAAATTCATTAAAACTGAAAGCAGATAATCACATAGATATGAACCTTCTCAAAAGATCGCTAACAAAATATATCAGATTGGTGTTGGTCACATGAGGACTGGTATATACATTGTACCGCTTAGTCATCTTGAAAACAGAACCAAATTCCATTGCAGAGTGTAGAGTTACTTCTTAGGTTGGGCTGTGCCATAGTTCAAGTCTGCCCCAGCGCTATGGCGCAGCCCAAGCTCAAGCAGTTAGTCACTGGCTTCTCACTGCGGCGGCCTGGGTTCGATCCTGGGTCTGGTCAGGTGGGATTTGTGGTGGACAAAGTGGCACTGGGGGTTGTGAGATGTTGAGGGTCCCACATTATCTAGACAATCGGCTCAAAGATGGTGGTAAGATTGTCAGCCTTACCTTAATTCCTGGTACTCATTTCTGTTAGATGCTGAGTAAACCCCAGGGCCTAGTGCGGCTGGAAGGATTAGGTCAACTGAAAAAATCCAATGACTTCATCGGGACTTGAACCCACGACCTTCCGGCTTGTAGCATACTGCCATACTAAGCACTTACATCAGCTAATAGTTAACATATGGATAACTGAAATAATCGCAGAGGAATGGAACCTAAGTGTTGTGTGCCCTATCCATAAGAAAGGCGATGTCATGGTATGCTCTGACTATAGAGGAATTTGTCTGTTGTGCATAGCATATAAAATATTTTCCAACATCCTATTTAACAGACTCTCTCCTTTTATGGAAGGCATAATTGGGGATTACCAACGTGGGTTTCGTCAAGGAAGATCAACTAATGATCAGATTTTCACTATTCGCCAGGTCCTTGAAAAGTGTAATGAATTCCAAATTGAAACACATCATCCATTCATTGAATTCCGATCAGCCTATGACTCCATAGGTAGAGATAGTCTTTTTCTGGCAATGGAAGAGATGCACATTCCATGGAAATTAATCGCCTTAGTCAGAGCCACTATGAGAAAGACCCAATGCCAAATTAAGATCCAGAATATGTTGTCCAGCCCTATAATAACTAGAAATGGAGTTCAACAAGGGGATTCCCTAGCCTGCCTTTTATTCAATATAGCATTAGAGAAGGTAGTTAGGAGATGCAGGCATCAACACAAGGGGAACTATATTCTATAAGTCAGTTCAAATTTTGGCATTTGCAGATGATATTGATATAATTGGTAGAGCACAAAAATCTATGAAAGAAGCTTTTCTTAATTTGGAAAGAGCAGCAAAAAAGATGAATCTACAAATTAACCAAAATAAAACAAAGTACATGCTGGTAACCAAGAGAGACTGTGCTAATGGACCTACATATTGTGACATGTTGCGCAAAGGAGAACCCCCCCCACCAGCAGTGACGCGGTGGGTGAGTCAGCGCTCCCCTCCCCCTCCTCCGCACGGTAACGTAACGGTGACGCAACAGGATTGTTACGGTAGTAACAGCGGTTACTACTGCTAGCGTTGCTAGCAACACAGCGCCAGGCAACAAGGGTGCCTATTACGTGGCCATATTGTCCGATCGAGGCTACGTAAGGAGCAGCGAAGGCTATTCACAGTCAGTTATAAGTAACAGTCGCCGAGTTGAAACATAGCAGCCTGCGAGTGTGCGATACTTAAGAAGTCAGCAAGCAGAAGACTTTTCGTGTGCTTTCCAGACATAGTGAGTGCTGTAGTACAGTTATACTCGGAGTGTGTAATTCAGGGAGACTTGTATAGCTCCCGCGTTATTAGTACGTGAAGACAAGTGAAGATTGTGTTAAGAGATTTTGTTGTAGGGTTTGTACAGTGTGGAAACCCGTAATATTGTGATAATTAATTGTAGCCATTATTTGTAGATTGTTAAATAAACCAATTAACCATTTCTACGGCGTCTTCAGTAATGAGGAAACACGTTACAATATATTGAAATTGGCTCATATAAATTTGAGGTTGTATGTAGTTTCACTTACCTTGGGTCAAAAGTTAACTGCAAAAATGACATCAGTGATTAAATAAAAAAGCATATACTTGCAGCAAATAAATGTCTCCATGGCCTTAGGAAACACCTGAAATCCCAACTAATACCCAAGAAAACCAAAACTATGATGTATAAAGTACTTATAAGATCAGTGCTATCTTATGCCATCGTCAAGATCGGATGAAAGACAGTTGAGTATATTTGAAAGGAGGATCCTGAGATATATCTTTGGACCAGTGGAAGAAAATGGAATATGGAGGAAGAGGTATAACCATGAGCTATACAAACTATTTAATGAACCAGACATTATTGGATTTATAAAGGTGAAAAGGCTTGAATGGGCTGGACACATAATACGTGTCAGCGAGAATAGAACGATTAAGAAAATACTTAATACTAAACAAGAAGGAAATAGGAAAGTGGGAAGACCAAGATTGAGATGGGAAGAATGTGTGTGGTAGGACATAAGAATTTTGGGTGTAAAGAACTGGAGGAATGTAGCATCAAATGGAGGAGAATGGCGAGTAATCCTGAGGAAGGCCAGGGCTCACAATGGGCTGTGGTGCCAGTGATGATGATGATGAAGAAGAAAAAGAACCAGAATAGCTCAGTTGCATGGTGAGGAGGTACGGGCTGGACGGCTGGGTTTCGATTCCGGCCGGGGGCAAGAGATTTTTCTTTCTGCACAGTGTCCACACCGTCTCTGGGGCTCACCTACTGTCTTATCAGATGGGTATGGGGGACACTTTCCCCAGGAATAAAGCATTTTTGGGCATGACACTGACCACTTACCTCAATCTAGTGCTGAGCTCAATACTGGGGGAGCTATACCTCCACTCCTCCATACATATTCATGGTGTAGCGCTCAGTTAATTAAGCACCGGGACAATTTTACCGCGTTATAAACTACATACAAAAGACAAGCGTTGACCATATGTGGTGGATAAAACTACTGAAAATTGTGCGAAATTCAATACTGTATTATAATCACGGATCACGATGTTTAGAAAAGCTAAGTGAGGATAGACAATCGACCATTATAACGATACGTTGGTACGGTTGGTACCACTTTACTACAATGTTGTGCTAATTTATGGTGGGAGTGTTAGCAAACGTTGGAATAATTTGTATAATATAAATAACATTTAGTAAATATATATACGGCGACGCTTTAATAATATAACGAAAAAACTGTTAACGTCTTGGGGGTCTTTGGAGTAAATATTTTTTCTGGTATTGCCTATCAGATTAATTTTTCAGAGGTTATGGGATATAATTTGATAGTTACATGGCAGTCAACACCGTCAACACATTTTGGGGCTGTAAGATACCTAACTGTTATAACTTCAAAAGTAGTCTGTGTGTTTTAGTATCGATGTTGTGTTCTCGTTACGTCTTGAATCCACTCCACCATAGGCGAGTGGATGGACAGTGAGGTTAAGTTTGAACGTTTGAAACAACAGAAAATATTTTGGAATATTTCAGCAAGTGAGACCCGTCAATAGGTTACTGGAATGCTGAAGTCGATGATACGGAATGCCAAATAATAAATACGAAAACCGAATTTGAAACAGGTTAGTTATTTTTGATAATTTATATTTATGTGGCAGATATCAAACATTTGACTCTTTCGATTACAGTTTCATTGATCAGATTTTTTGTGATAGTAGAACAATATTGGTTGATTTCTACACTCTTCGATTTTGTAAGTTACAGTGACTGAAATGCTGACTGAACTGAATAGGCCATGCCATAGCTCAGGTGGCTAGTCGCTGGCTATCCGCCAAACAGATCCAGGTTCAGTTGCAGGCCAGGTCTTTATATTGTCAATTATAAACATTATTAGAGGTAGTAAATACTGGGTGGGGTTACTGTATAGAACTTCTTAAATAATTCTTGGGTAGTACTCTTCATGATTACCTACCATGGTTTTAATGGCTTTCTTTTGTAAAAGGAATACTTTGTTCCTGTCAAAAGAGTTGCCTCTATGCCATAGGTTACAGAAGTATGAAAACCACACTTTTTTAGTCGGTATTTAATCTGTGGAAAGAAGATCTGAGTGACCTGAGACCCTTTCACAAAGCATGCTGCACGTAATTTCAGCAAAATGCTGAATAAAAATTGATTATCAATTTGTAAACCAAATATCTTTGCTGATTTTACTTCCTGTACATATTGTCACAAGTTAAGTGACCAGATGGGTTTTGGATTGGTAATTGGATTTATTGCACACTAATACAACTCTTGACTATGCTTTACAGACCACTTTCACATACAGACTAGTGTCGCCAGTCACGTTGCTTTGTAATGGCTTCTAACAGTGGATATTCCTTTGCTTCCATGCTCACGTCCTCACAGGCTGGTGCCCATCTCAACATCAACTTCATGCTCTGACTGCTGGCTTCAGCTGGTACTTCCCTCAGCTCCTAGCTCCTGCACAGAACTAACTCACAACTCAAAATTGAATGTTATGTAGCCTTAGTGTGGATCACATAGAAAACACTGCTTCCAACATTTTATCTGTTGTTGCATGTGTATGTTGCTTAGTTATGGCTCTAGTATTGTTGCGTGTTTACACAGCTGTTGCCTTCCAATAGCTGTTTCTTTGAATCCCTTTTTCTAGCTGTCAGACCTTATGTCACAGTGTCTTTTAATATTAGTTATTACTTGTTATTAGCCACAAATTTTATTAAATTTGAAGAGTACTATCATCTGGAATGTGGCACTGTATCATCTGGTAGAAGTTTACAAATATTACAGACGAATGTGCTACCTAACACAGTGTCTTACCCATAGCTCATTAAATCCGTTGTTTTCACCTCTGGGTCCTTGTTGCACATTGCTGGCCAATTGTGGTTTTGATCCGACGCAGACTTTAGCCACAGATTTCTCTGCTACAGCTAAAGACCAAAAACAAAACCATGTATGTTTTGCCAGTGGTTGTCTAGGATCTTGCACTATTTTTGTAAAAGCTTCTCTGTTAATTGTTGTTGTTACCCCTACTCCAGATGTAAAGTTCCCATTTGCCTTTATACAGTATCCTGATACCTTTAGTTAACCATTCTATTCTGTCTTTACCCATTTACTTATAAGCGAATATTTGTTGGCTATATTTCCAACTCATTATAATCTGAAGCGAAGAAATGCTTTATCTTGATTTAGTTTCAACTTCACTTTTGAATATGTTGTTTAATAAGTGAAAGAGGATCAGGAAGGATTGGACCTGAGAGAACACATCAGTTGCTTACCTGTGCTCTTGACTAGTTAATTTCATGGTACAAGCTCTCCCTTGGATGGTTTATATAATCATTCTGATGGTTAAGAAATTAGTTTTCTTCTTTAAGAAACCCAAGGGTTCATCCAGTCCCTCTTTTCATGCCCTTTTTGTTAAATTTTGGTTTTTATATTATCCATCAATATACACTTACAGTCTGTCTGTGATTTAATGATTCCTGGCCCTGCGCGTGTGTGAGGTAGCAAGACTCAAGTCAGGGAGAAGAATGTAGCACTGTTGTCAGATCTTAATTTCAGTTATAAACATTAAGGAGTCTAGTCATGGGCTTGCAGCATTCAGAATACATACCATTATATCTAGTGAAATGGTCCTTACAAAGTGAACATAAACTCGCAACTCACATGGCGAACTCATGACTGTCAGGCAATGCTGTCTTGTGGTGGTCAACTCTGAGAACCGATACAAGGAGTCATTAAATTATAACTGGACTCTGGGTATCCCACATGGCCTCTGTCTGTGTTCATTTATTAATATTGTAAAGTAGGACACAGAAACTGTTACAATCCAGTCACTTCTGTCTATATATGCCTTTTGACATCTCTGTCATGTTGGAAATATTGCTGGAAACGTCTAAAAGTAGTAATTTGTGCCTTTTCTATCAACTGAGTTTATTAAAACCACAACTGGAAATTAGTTACCAAGAATCATTTGCATACTGCAGTGTGATTTCCTTGAGTACCATCATCACATTGCTACAAATGTCTTCATGCAATGGGAAATAAGGCCTTTCCAAGAAGCTTTACTTTCGGTATCATGGAATAGTTATAAGGGGCTATCTCAGACAAGTATGTTGAACATTGAACACTAGTATTTGTTTATTTGCCAGATATCACTTGAACCTAAAAAGCTGTGCAATTAGACACTGTGTCATGATACAAAATCCAATTTTAAAGCAGTGGTTTTAGTCTTTTTCACAAATGTACTTCTGTAACATTCAAAACTTTGTTTAGCTGACTGCCTATTTTGAAGGAAGAAATTCATAATGCGTAGAACAAGTTGCCTTTATATCAGAAAGTCAGGTTGCCATGTTTTTTTATCGCTCAGTGTTTGCTTTTCTTTGGGTCTCTTCTTTTGTTTATTGGTGATATTGGAAGATGTTTCATTTCCAGAAAGTCAGGTTCTTCCAAAAATCTTGTTGAAAAATCTGGGTAAGCTTTCATATTTTCTTTATGTGTTTTGTAAACAAAGAGAACAGTGTATCAATAAGAGTCTAAATGCAAAGGAAAAGAGAGCAAGCTGAATCCAACTATTTTCCACAAAACTGCCGAATCATGTAGTTACATGACCCAACATGTGACAAGACCAGTACAGTGAGTTGTTACACAAAAACTTCAGTTCAGTTGTAAGATTTGAGGTTCTCTTGGCAGTGAATATGAAGATCACTGTCCTCTGAGTAACAGTACTTTGTAGTCTGCTAGATATGAACATAAAACTAGGTTACGTAAAAACTTGCACCTACCTGCAGTGAATCTGGCAAAATTTGACAAAGATGTCTATATCACGGGTATAAGAGTTTTTAATCATTTACCTCATTCAATAAAAAGACTGGCGAATGATGAGAAGGGATTTAAATCCACTTTAAAAAGGTTTCTCTGTCATCATTCCTTTTACTCCACGAATGAGGTTTATCAATATACTGAGAGTTAGAATATACTGTTTTAATATATGTATGTTTTATTATCTAGGTTTTGTATATTGACTCACCCGATATTCTGGATATGAAGTTTTAAAAAATGTTGTTGTAAATAAACTTAGAATATGTGCAATTTATATACATTTTTTAATTGTATATTATAAATTTAGATATCTAAAAGTAGTATTATATATTGTTGACTTGTGTTTGTCTTGTCATGCTAAGAATGTTTATTGACTTGTTCTGCATCTGTAGGCCTTTGGCGAGGTATGGATTTATGGAACGAATAAATATGAATGAATGAATGAATGAATTTTAGAGGAACTGTTCTACCCTGAAGATGGAGGCAGCATGTTGCTATGTTCTTACCTTTGTACTACCAGTCTACTTGGCAGATTGCATTCTTCATTTTTCAAATCATTTAACTTAGAGATCTCGCATTTGTGTTGAGAGATCTTCATTCCAATGTAGTTGTGAGGTTTGAGGTGCAGTGTACACTGTATTTTCCACATATTTTATATTTGTGTGCTGAAATTGCATGATTTTTAATGTGGTTTATAAATGGTAGATTACAAATTATGTGTAGTGCTGTTTGAATAAACATGTTTTGATTTTCAGGCAGAATTGAAATGTTAACCCCCAAATTTGAGTTAACACAGACAGAAACGAAGGTGTGCATAACAGTTTTTGCACCATACACAAACATCTCTGAAACAGAAATTTATATTGAAAAGAATGATTTTAGGTTCTTCTCACCTCCATATTATCTGAGGTATGTAGAACATTCCATAGAAAAAATACTTGGTACATGCATCGTGTACGTAAATTTGATATCAGTAAGACAGTTTATTTGTGTCATAAAATGATTTAACAGCACTGTCCAGTGTGACTCAGCAAGGTGCATTTAACATAGCTTTAAGGTACTGAGTCACACTGGACAGTGTTGTTAAATTATTTTATAGTAATTAACTAGTGTGATGGACCGACCACCACTGTGGTCTGGTGGTCAGAGTTCATGGCTACAGATCCAGAGGTCTCAGGTTCGATTCCCAGCGCTACCAGATTTTCTGAGAAGTAGTGGGTCTGGAATGGGGTCCACTCAGCCTTGTGATGATAATCGAGGAGCTATTTGAATGGTAAAGTAGCAGCTCCAGTCTAGGAAACCAAAATTAACGGTCGTGGGGGTTTGTTGTGCTGACCACGCCACACCCTATATCCGCTACACTAACTTCGCCGACAAGCGGCGGTCACTTGCTCAGTAGGTATAGTTCGCTTTCAGACTAAAGCCGCAGAGTGTGATGGACAAGAATGAATAAAGTTAAGTCTGTTTGTGTCAGTTTCTCGTCTACGTAGACTGTGTTTATGAGAATTTGAGGTCCTGCGTGGATTATGACAAGTACTGTGCATCAGGATATTTCTTGAGGCCCATAAAAATAATGCTTCAAAGTTCTTTATTTATTAGTAGGAGGTAATGGTTACCTGAAAACTGTGGAAGAATATAAGATAGCTTCAAGCCCAGTTCTTGTCATGTTACCGAGCAAGTTTGCCCGAGAAGTAACACTTGTGACATGTATTGGTAGGTGACTGGCAAAATCTTGACCAGGACACCAGATACCCTTAATGGTGGTTTTGCTCAGTCCTTCCAGGCAAATAACTTAGAGTACCTCAAACTAGGGCACCATTTATTCAGTTTGCATATTTTCTACATTATGATATCTATCATTTGCTGCCATTAAATCTGACAGACTTATAGCACTGTTAAATGAGCCACATAAATAAATAAATTAATTTGGATCTTCTCTGGATATGAAGCTCTGTTGGCTTGGACATTGTGCAGGAGCAATGCATCCATTTCTCCAAGTTGAACATCAGCCATTTATTTTTCATACATATTTCCACTGAATTGCATTCACGATATGTTCATTACGATCATAATATTGGATCTAGGAGGAAGCAGGGTTTCAAAATTTATGATGACCTCATCATAGGTTACCCTGGTATGAACATTTTAAGTGAGGTAACACAGTTCACATTTATATTCAGACAAACCTTAATCCAGTAAATATCATATATTTGGAGATCTTACATGTAGGGCTTCTCTCACAAACAGGGGGTCTGTGAATCATGACTTTCTTCAACAAAGATCCAAACCAAGACGAATAGTTGAGCGGCGTGGTAAATGCTTCCCAGATACAAAAGTTACACAACTGGGAAATTTTATGTTTCACCTAAACTGAAGTAATTATTTAATTATGTAAAATTGTGAGTAGTATGGGAAGAACTCATTTTCTGTTGAGGCTGAGTAGACCCCAGGGCCATAGTGCGGCCAGAAGGATTAGGTCAATTGAAAAAATCCAATGATGTCATTGGGACTTAAACCCAGGACCTTCCGGCTTGTAGCATAGCCCCTCAACCAACTATGCTAGAATTAATTAAATAATTTTCCTGGGGAGTAAAGAGTGGCAGGCGCGTGAGTCTGACAAGCGTACTGCCATCTTTGACCTGACTGTCTAGATAATGTGGGACCCTCAACGTCTCACAACGTTATGGGCCTTCACTGCCTGTTACAGGGATAGCTTTACTTTTTACTTTATGAGAAGAACAGCCATAGAATGTACTCAATTTCATGAGTAGTCATTAAAGAACTTCATAACAGGTGAGGTTGAAAAAATTGTCAAATAACTCATGTATGAACGGATCAAGTAGAAAAAAGTAACAACTCAAACAATTAGTAAATGAATCATTAAGTTAATCATATAGTTTGTTTATAGTAGGGTTCTGTTGAAATCAGATTTTTTTTTTACAGGTTGAATTTACCAGGTGAAATTATGGAAATGGGTGCTTCAAATGGAATTTATGATGCTGATGATGGAAAATTTATTTTGACTGTGGAGAAAGTGAACAAAGGAGAACATTTCCCAAATTTGGACCTGATCTCTACCCTCCTAGTGAAAAAAACAAAGAATTTCCCATCAAAACCAGATATTAGGATCCTAGGTAAGACCAACGTGTTAATAAACACAGAAAAATCTGAGTATATGTTGATATGATGATGATCACCAGAATGCAGGGCAGGATGGTTAATAGACCCTTTGAAAGTGTGACAGAATATAAATATTTGGGAGCAACATAAAGAAATCAAAATCTAACTAATGAAGAAATTAAGAGCAGAGTACACTGGGGTAGTGCTTGCTACCATTCAGTTCGAACTTTTTGTCTTCTTATCTCCTGTCTAAAAGCATAAGAATTAAAATACACAGAAGTTAATTTTGCCTTTAGTTTTGTATGGGTGTGAAACTTGGTCTCTGACATTAAGGTAGGAACATAGACTGAGGGTGTTTTAGAAACAGGATAATGAGACGAATATTTGGACCGAAAAGAGATGAAGTGACGGGAGGTTTGAGAAAACTTCATAATGGGGAGCTTCATAAATTGTACTCTTCACCGAGTGTAATTAGAATGATCAAGTCAAGAAGGATGCAATGGGTAGGGCATGTAGCATGCAGGGGAATAAGAGGAATGCATCTGGGATTTAGGTGGGTAAGCCAGAAGGAAAGAGACCACTAGGAAGATTTAAACGTAGGTAAAGCGGCCTCCGTAGTCTAGGGGTAACGTTCCCACCTCATGACTCAAGGTACACGGGTTCAAACCCAGCGGAGGTCGTGGAATTTTTAAAGGCAGAAAAATTCAGGGAACAAGTCCTCGGGAGGGACTTTAAGCCATGTGTCCCGTGTCTTAGATTTACGGCACGTAAAAGATCCTCATGTCTCTAGGAGACCTCTGAGCAAAATTAGGCAGAGATTCCCGCCCAAGTAGTTTCCATTTCCTCTGGTAGATGGGGAAGTATCGAGGACCACTGCCAGATAGGTGACCGACCTTGCTGGCAGGACAGTCGCAGTGCATGGGGAAACCCACCCCCTCCAAAAATAATAATAATAAATAATAGATGTAGGTAGGAGGATGATATTAAACTGGATCTCAGATAGCATAGGGTGGAATGGACTTTATTGATCTGGCTCAGGATAGGGACCAGTGGAGGTTCCTTGCAAATGTAAATGATCTTTTGGGTTTCATAAAATGTTGGGAAATTGTTGAGTAACTGAATGACTGGCAGCTTCTCGAGAAGGACTCAACACCATGGAGTTAGTGCACTGTGAAGAAGTGGCTGGTGTTGTAAACTTTGATTACAGTGAAAAAAGTGGTCCAGTAGGGTAGAATCTCAAGTCTCGTCTTCAATGGTCTATTGTGCTTCCCCTTGGATTAATCCTACACTTTTAATAAAGTGTAGGACCCTGCTTATGGGGGCATCATAAAAGTCACTTGGTTCCATAAAAACTGACCCAAGTGACAAAATCTTAAATAAGCTATGGCCTCAGAATCACACAGGATGTGTGTGGCTGATTCGTTATCTTGTAGGCACCTTTCACAGGTTGGGTTTTTGCTGAGGTCAAGAAAGTGTGTATCTCTATGTACACTCACCCATACACCTTCATGGTATAGTTGAGCACAGGGAAAAGTGTACTTTACCTTACCTTATTGAATAGAGGTACTTCACTACAGGCTAGTCGTGTAACACAGAAGGGAAATCGTCGATGTGTACAGAAACTTGATTGTGAAAGTTCTTGAAGAGCAACATCTTTCAAAATTGAACAGCTGCAGGAATTACATTAAAAATATTTTAGAGAAATGTGTTATAAGAATGTGTACAAAGTCTTGGTAGGATCCACTGACACACTTTGATATTTACATTTGGTTTCTGTTCTGCAAGCTGGAAAATCATGGGTGCAATGCCCGATGAGATCATTGGATTTTTCAGTTGACCTAATTCTTCCAGCTGCACTGTGGGCCTGGAGTCAACTGCACCTCTAACAGAAATGAGTACCAGAAATCTTCCTGGGAGTAAAGGGCGGCCAGCGCGCAAGGCTGACAACCTCACCACCATTGATTGTCTAAAAAATGTGGGAACATTGACTTCTCACAACTCTGTGGGCCTCTGTGGCCTGTTACAGGGATAGTTTTACCTGTTTACCTTATCTGGTGAATGAATGGTTCATTTAGCCAGTTGAATCAATATGACATTCAGTAAACCTAAGCTGAATTTTGTTTCTTTTCCTGCAGATAGTCAAGGAGAAGATGTGAGCTCTGATGGTTCACACTGCAGTCAGGATGAGTCAAGTGAAATGGACTGCCTTATTGAACAGACTCTTCCAGAGGAAGAAGTACCTTTTACAGTGATGATAATGAAACCAAAATATGGATTTGGTAACCAATATTCAGATGTTTTCAAAGGATATGCAGTAAGTTATACGCAAGTAGTATTGAATTAGAATACTTTATATGATATGAACTAGTTTGTCTTTTAAAAAAAATTGTTTAGGTCTGAGTCCATGGAATTTGTTTTCACTTCATGAACTGCATGTTAAAAGTAATTAACTCTGCGCTGGTAGAACCCAAATAACAAACACCATTATGCTTCTTCTCTTGTAATATTGTACAACAATTTTACATGGGTGTGTTGGAAAATCTGACTGTGAAAAGATTAGTGGAAATTTAAAAAGTTATTAAAGATAAAGAGTCAGCACACTATAGTCATGATACTGCCCATGTTATTAAATAACAGGCTTTAGAAAGAAATTAAAGAGAGAAAATGTTCCTTCTGCTTATTCTGTATTTTTTTTCTAATTTTTTTATTGTCAGTTGTTTAGTAGTGTTGTAAGTAAGTAAGTAAGTAAGTAAAAAACAAGTAATGGTATCCCTGTAACAGGCTGTGGAGGTCCATATGGTTGTGAGATGTTGAGGTTCCCACATTTCCTAGACAATCGGCTCATAGATGGAGGCAAGGTTGTCAGCCATACACGTCAGCCGCTCTTTACCCCCAAGAATATTCCAAGAATATTCCTGCTACTCATTTCTGTTAGATGCTGAGTTGACCCCAGGGCCATAGTGCGGCTGGAAGGATTAGGTCAACTGAAAAAATCCAATGACCTCGTCGGGACTTGAACCCATGACCTTCTGGCTTGTGGCATAGTGCCTGTTAAATCAGAAATTACATTTTGTTCTTGAAGTACAGATGGTCACATTTTAAATTTTAGTTGCTGCTAATTTAAAGCTTAACTTGGAATAAAGGGTCCTTTTGATGAGTATCTACTTGTACACATGGAAGATTGCCACTGTGAATTAAATATAACATGCCTGAACTGCAGTTCAACAACTGAATTTAATTTTGGTTCATGCTGTTCCATTTGGATTTATGATATTTATGCAGAGATGCTAGTGCAGTATTTGTTTGACTAGCAGCAAAGTTAAGACTTCTATACACTTTTTCAGCCTTGAATTCATCCAGTTGCATATTTGTTGCCACATAACACATAACTTTAAATTAGTGGAATTGTAATGAAAGTAATTATAGTTAGGAAGAAGGTGCATGAATTCCTTTACTAAATTAACATTTATCTATAATGGATATCTGTCAGCAATGACTGTGATGACTATTAAGCTGGTTCCCTGTATTCTGGCTCAGAAGTTAATGTCGCTGACAACTACAGAGTACACATTGTAGAGATGATGGATTTGTTATCACTGCTGCAACTTGAAAAATATTTGCTGCCATCACTGTTGTGATAGCAGAAGAAAATGCACTTCAATGCACACACTAAATGAGAATCTTTACTGTACTTTAAAATTTAAAAAATGTTGTATGATTTTACATGAGCTGTTTAGTTGGTTGGTTCTGCCATATTCAGAAACTTTTCCTAATGTCATACGATTTTCTTTTACAGTGAGGAAGATTTTCTTTGATTTCCATAACAATATTCTGGATTTCATATTCCAAAACTTGTAAATAATCTTGTTGGTTTCTGTGACTTCTGCTTCCACTTTTTACATGAGCTGTTTAGTTGGTTGGTTCTGCCATATTCAAAAACTTTCCCTAATGCCGTATCATTTTCTTTCACAGTGAGGAAGATTTTCTTTGATTTCCATAACAATATTCTGGATTTCATATTCCAAAACTTGTAAATAATCTTGTTGGTTTCTGTGACTTCTTCTTCCACTTTTCTGAGAGATAAAAACACATACATTTATATAAAACTGTTGCCCTTTACTCTCCTCTTGTTCACTGAACTAAGTCCATAGGTTCTACATTTAATATGTTGTGGGGTGTTCTTGTGCATCGCCCTGTTGGACATATGCAAAATTATTGTGCTTTTAGTTAATTGTTCAAAGAGGTGCTCCCAAATATTGTTCACAGTGTTACCATGTTGTCAGGGGAGGTTGCTTTCAGTAACCAACGCAAGGGGGTGGGGGTGAATGGGGTGACTTAGTCCCATTCTGTATGTCCTCATTAATGTGAGTTTTTCTCAGCTTGTGTGTGTTTTGAAAACACTGAATACTGCATTCATGTCATGTGTGACTTATGTAGGCTTGGCTGTGCAGTGTTTCATTATAATGTGCATCAAAGTCAGTTACTTTATGTAATTTCTGCACTGCGGGAACAAAGGATCAGGGTAACCCTGTTGTAGCGCTTCTTATAAATGGCAGTAAAATTAAAAAATATGAAACAGTGGTAGCTTGGCTAAGGATTGTTTGACTCCGAGACTAGGTACATTTTATATGTGTACCATTCTTTATGAACAATCTTTGTTGTCTAGTGGTCAGATTTCCTGGGTTCGATTCCTGGCGCTACCAGATTTTCTGAGAAGTAGTGGGTCTGGAATGGGGTCCACTCAGCCTTGTGAGGATAATTGAGGAGCTATTTCAAGGAAATAGCGGCTCTGGTCTAGAAAATCGAGATTAACGGCCGTGGGGATCCGTTGCACTGACCACGCAACACCCTCTGTCCACTAAATTTGGCACTAACTTTGCCAACAAGTGGTGGTCGCTCAATCAGTATAGTTCGCTTGCGGACTGAAACCACAGAGTTTGTTGTTTTGTTTTTGTACCACTCTTTGTGCTGTAGTCTGATTCTAAATAAATATGGATGAATGTAATCTTCTGTCTCTTTGTTGTAAACAGCAGATTGTAATGAATATTGCATGAACATGCGAGTTTACGTTCTGGTTGCAGTATGAGGTGTTGGAGATTCTTGATCTTCCTGATCCAGATATTACAGCAGCTTCATCCCGCACTCCGTTGAGGCTAGAATGTGAAGTAAAAGATTTCAGTGACGAGCATTATCTAGCTGACCGTGTGTACAGGAATTATATTGATGAACTGATAGCATTTGAAACAGTTTGGGAGCAGTACCATGCGAGTGGCACATCTGGTAAGGTTTTATTCCTCTTATTTTTTGTACACTTCAACTCCCGGGTATTTAAATTCGTAATCGCTTTTCTNTGATCTTCCTGATCCAGATATTACAGCAGCTTCATCCCGCACTCCGTTGAGGCTAGAATGTGAAGTAAAAGATTTCAGTGACGAGCATTATCTAGCTGACCGTGTGTACAGGAATTATATTGATGAACTGATAGCATTTGAAACAGTTTGGGAGCAGTACCATGCGAGGGGCACATCTGGTAAGGTTTTATTCCTCTTATTTTTTGTACACTTAAAGTTCAGTTCTGTGCTTTCTTCACTCTTACATGTTTTTATTTTGGTCTTGTTGCTCAGTGTTAACTTTATATTCTTCCCAATTTAAATTTTTCAGTAACTAGTGTTTGTGGTTCAAGGTCCTGGTTGCTGAGTTGAATGTAGGTCATTTTTTTATCTCTTTATAATATAAAACTGAACTTTTGATTGCTTTTACCTCTGATTTGGTTCATCCTGGTCCTTCACTCTAGCAGTATTATAAAAGGTTAAATTTTAAAAGGTATAAAAGTGTTAATAAAATCTTTTTAAACCGCACTTGTAAACAGACTAATTGTGATACTTTATAAACACTTTAATGTATTCATGCATGTTGCTGCAGTTCTTAAAGGCTCAGATTTTTTATTCATGGCAATGTGTATTACTCGACAAATAATTTCACTTCGGTCTTGACTTCAACGAATATTTATTGAACAAATTTATCCACACTTACTTAGAGTCAGGAATACAATTATTATCCACTTGCAGTATCACGATTACTGCCTCAACTTCATTACTTCAATACATCTACTTCAACTGCCTTCTGTGGCTGCGATATCTTAACTATATCGGCAGATATATTTCGACTGTCCTTGACCGTGGCTGGATCTCAAGTCCAAAGTCACATTGCAACTGGCAGTCAGTCAGTCAGTAAGTCTTGGTGTTGAGCCCCATCTGGGGCTCATGACCAGATATTTATTACTGTTTGGCATTTACGGTCTTGTTTTTGTGGGGTGCCCTCTGACGAGATGACGGGTCTGCCTTTTGTATATGATGCTGGCCCTTGCCAGTGCAGTCTTTCTCGGGTCTGAGTCCCTTGGAACTCGCAACCATATTTTACTGTCTCAGATTTGAGATTTTCCCTTTTTGTCGCCTCCTACAACTAGCAGGGTCACGGAGGTATTTGACCCCGCCTCCACACGGATGCTGGATCTCTACTGTCTTGGTGAATGTCTTCAACCCATTATATAGAGGTTTTTTGAACCACTTAGAGAACACCATATTTAACAGTTACAATTGGTTGTTGCACAAAAAACTCTCTGTTGTCCCAGAAATGCTATACCGTGTTTCATTGTTATTTGTTGCTATGATTTAACTCAACGATTTCTGAATGTAGCGGTTGTAGCAGGAATGTAGATCGTTGCCTAGGAAGTGATGGTTTTGATATGCACGTTACAATATTCTCAGTTTCATTATTGCTTCGTAATTTGTTAGAATAGAAACCTTATTCTTAGTAAGGTGCAGAATGTTCACAGTTGACTCTGAAACTTCTGTTACATTTATCACAGTACTGAGTGGAATGGTAACATAAGCTTATTGGCCTCAAATTATTTGTTGATGAGAGCAAGATATTGTCACGTGTTGGCCATGTGTTGTGCAAGAAATAACTTCATGCCGGTCTTGGATCTAGCGAATTTATTGCACACTCGCTCTTACACTTACACAGTTCACAATTTCATTGTCCCAATTACTTCTCCTGCTGTAGTCACTTCCAGGCTTGAACTGTCTTGATTCCATTCACTCGATACAACTCGTAACTGCTAGACTTCAACTCAGTCTGAATACTGAATACTGCCTGAATAGTGTTCCCTGCTCTTTATATGGGCTCGGCACGGACTACATAGAAAACACATTGCTGCTTGGCAACAGATATCAGGTTTTGTTGTCAGGCGTGTTTACCGAGCATCATGAAGCAACACAATGAGTGGGGGTATATGACGTTACTCGCACTTTCTGTTGCGCCATCTAAGCATTCACAGAATTTTCGCCTAGGAACGCGTCGATACAATACGCAACTCTCAAGTTGCGCGCGTGCCTCGAGGCCTCTGTGGCTTAACAGTTCCTGCATAGAGCCAATACGCCACAACATTATGTAAGATATTGAATCAGTTTCTCTTTTTGTGTGGAATTGTCGTGTATAATAAATGGGATGAAGTGAAGTAATGTCAGGTGTCCTTGTTTGATTGCAGTGAAACGAAGATAATCGTGCTCTTGCGTGACTTTATATATTTGGATTTGCACTGTGTGTACCTTGTTTATTGTATGTACTTTGTTTTGTATTGTTTCCTTTATGTATAGTCTTTCCTTGTCTCTATCAGTGTAAGGTCTGTTAACACCCAATTGTGGTAAAATAATAATAATAAAAATAAAAATAATAGTAATAATAATTCAGTTCAATTCAGTTCATGTTTATTTATGTGCAAACTTAACAGCACAGAGGCTAATTACAAGGTTAGCACGAGTATGTAGAAATACACAAAATAATCAAAAAACAAAATACAAAATTTGAGAGTCCATATAATGGCAATAATTCAAATAAAACTTAAAGATAACATTAACAGGAGAGAAAAATAAAATAAAACCAATTATGTACATGCACATACATAATTCAGTTCAATTCAATTCTTTATTATTTACGTGCCGAGTCAACAGCCACAAGGCCAATTACAG